GTGATTGAAGAATTATGTCAATGATGCTATCATCTGGAAGATTAACTCCCAGTTGAATCAAGTGATTGTTATACCCAGACATTCTGAGTATATGCTCACTGACAGAACTATTCTCCTCCATCTTGCAGCTGTAGAACTTATTGGAGACTTCATATCTCTCAATTCGGGCATTTGCTTGAAATATTAACTTCAACTCCTGGAACATCTCATATGCTCCATGACGTTCAAAACGTCGTTGAAGTCCCGGTTCTAAGCCGTAAAGCATGGCACACTGAACTATCGAGTAGTCATCAGCTTTGCTCTACCAGACGTTCATAACATCTGGTGTTGCTCCTGCAGCAGGTTTGGCACCTAGCGGTGCTTCCAGGACGCAATTCTTTTGTGCAGCAATGAGGATAATCCTCAAGTTACGGACCCAGTCCGTGTAATTGCTATCATCATCTTTCAACTTTGCTTTCTCAAGGAACGCATTAAAATTCAACGGAACAACAACACGAGCCATCTATCTACAACAACATAGACATGCAGAATACTATCATGTACTAAGTTCATGATAAATTTAAGTTCAATTAATCATATTACTTAAGAACTCCCACTTAGATAGACATATCTCTAATCATCTAAGTGATCACGTGATCCAAATCAACTAAACCATAATCGATCATCACGTGAAATGGAGTAGTTTTCAATGGTGAACATCACTATGTTGATCATATCTACTATATGATTCACGCTCGACCTTTCGGTCTCAGTGTTCCGAGGCCATATATGCATATGCTAGGCTCATCAAGTTTAACCTGAGTATTCTGCGTGTGCAAAACTGGCTTGCACCCATTGTAGATGGATGTAGAGCTTATCACACCCGATCATCACGTGGTGTCTGGGCACGACGAACTTTGGCAACAGTGCATACTCAGGGAGAACACTTTTATCTTGAAATTTAGTGAGAGATCATCTTATAATGCTACCGTCAATCAAAGCAAAATAAGATGCATAAAAGATAAACATCACATGCAATCAATATAAGTGATATGATATGGCCATCATCATCTTGTGCTTGTGATCTCCATCTCCGAAGCACCGTCATGATCACCATCGTCACCGGCGCGACACCTTGATCTCCATCGTAGCATCGTTGTCGTCTCGCCAACTATTGCTTCTACGACCATCGCTACCGCTTAGTGATAAAGTAAAGCAATTACAGGGCGATTGCATTGCATACAATAAAGCGACAACCATATGGCTCCTGCCAGTTGCCGATTACTCGGTTATAAAACATGATCATCTCATACAATAAAATATAGCATCATGTCTTGTCCATATCACATCACAACATGCCCTGCAAAAACAAGTTAGACGTCCTCTACTTTGTTGTTGCAAGTTTTACGTGGCTGCTATGGGCTGAGCAAGAACCATTCTTACCTACGCATCAAAACCAAAACGATAGTTCGTCAAGTTAGTGTTGTTTTAACATTATCAAGGACCGGGCGTAGCCACACTCGGTTCAACTAAAATTGGAGAAACTGACACCCGCCAGCCACCTGTGTGCAAAGCACGCCGGTAGAACCAGTCTCGCGTAAGCGTACGCGTAATGTCGGTCCGGGTCGCTTCATCCAACAATACCGCCGAACCAAAGTATGACATGCTGGTAAGCAGTATGACTTGTATCACCCACAACTCACTTGTGTTCTACTCGTGCATATAACATCAACGCATAAAACCAGGCTCGGATGCCACTGTTGGGGAACGTAGTAATTTCAAAAAATTTCCTACGCACACGCAAGATCATGGTGATGCATAGCAACGAGAGGGGAGAGTGTGTCCATGTACCCTCGTAGACCGAAAGCAGAAGCGTTAGCACAACATGGTTGATGTAGTCGTACGTCTTCACGATTCGACCGATCAAGTATCGAACGCACGACACCTCCGAGTTCTGCACACGTTCAACTCGATGACGTCCCTCGAACTCCGATCCAGCCGAGCTTTGAGGGAGAGTTCCGTCAGTACGACGGCGTGGTGACGATGATGATGTTCTACCGACGCAGGGCTTCGCCTAAGCACCGCTACGATATTATCAAGGTGGATTATGGTGGAGGGGGGCACCGCACACGGCTAAGAGATCCAAGAGATCAATTGTTGTGTCTCCAAGGCGTGCCTCCCTCCCCGTATATAAAGGAGTGGAGGAGGGGGAGGGGGCCGGCCACCCTAGGCGCGCCCCATGAGGAGTCCTACTCCTACCGGGAGTAGGACTCCCCCCTTCCATGTGGGAATAGGAGAGGAGAGGGAAGGAGAGAGAGGGGGAAAGGAAAGGGGGGCGCCGCCACCTCCTTGTCCAATTCGGACTGGGGGGGAGGGGGCGCGCGGCTGCCCTTGGCCGCCCCTCCTCTTCTCCACTAGGGCCCAATAGGCCCATTAGTCTCCATCGGGGGTTCCGGTAACCACTCGGTACTCCGGTATATGCCCGAAACTCCCCGAAACCATTCCGGTGTCCGAACATAGTCGTCCAATATATCGATCTTTACGTCTCGACCATTTCGAGACTCCTTGTTATGTCTGTGATCACATCCGGGACTCCGAACTACCTTCGGTACATCAAAACATATAAACTCATAATATAACCGTCATCGAACTTTAAGCGTGCGAACCCTACGGGTTCGAGAACTATGTAGACATGACCGAGACACGTCTCCGGTCAATAACCAATAGTGGAACCTGGATGCTCATATTGGCTCCCACATATTCTACGAAGATCTTTATCGGTCAAACCGCATAACAACATACGTTGTTCCCTTTGTCATCGGTATGTTACTTGCCCGAGATTCGATCGTCGGTATCTCAATACCTAGTTCAATCTCGTTACCGGCAAGTCTCTTTACTTGTTCCGTAATACATCATCCCGCAAGTAACTCATTAGTTACAATGCTTGCAAGGCTTAAGTGATGTGTATTACCGAGTGGGCCCAGAGATACCTCTCCGAAAGTCGGAGTGACAAATCCTAATCTCGAAATACGCCAACCCAACAAGTACCTTCGGAGACACCTGTAGAGCACCTTTATAATCACCCAGTTATGTTGTGACGTTTGGTAGCACACAAAGTGTTCCTCCGGTAAACGGGAGTTGCATAATCTCATAGTCATAGGAACATGTATAAGTCATGAAGAAAGCAATAGCAACATACTAAACGATCAAGTGCTAAGCTAACGGAATGGGTCAAGTCAATCACATCATTCTCCTAATGATGTGATCCCGTTAATCAAATGACAACTCTTTGTCTATGGCTAGGAAACATAACCATCTTTGATCAACGAGCTAGTCAAGTAGAGGCATACTAGTGACCCTTTGTTTGTCTATGTATTCACACATGTATCATGTTTCCGGTTAATACAATTCTAGCATTAATAATAAACATTTATCATGATATAAGGAAATAAATAATAACTTTATTATTTCCTCTAGGGCATGTTTCCTTCAACGGGCATCCCGATCTGGACTTCGGATCGGGTCTAGTTCCCCCGGTCTTCACTCCAACCAGAGAAAGGTATCCATGGCGGCGGGCGGCGGAGAAGTCGCGGGGCCGCGGCCGGGAGGAGGCGGCGGCCGGCGGAGAAGTCAGAGGCCGCGAGCCGGGAGGAGGCGGCGGCCAGTAGACGTGCGACCAAGGCAGACTCGATCTACAGGAGGAGAGCAACGGCAGCTCGAGCGCCTCCTTGGCAGGCGGCATAGGAGATCCAGCGGGCGGGCGTATCGTCTACTGGAGGCGCATGGACAACGGAGGTCCAACGGGCGGGTGCGGTGAAGCAACAACGGACAACAATGGGGAAGGAGCAGTGGCTGCCCGCAGGGAAGAAGACAACGATGGCCGGGAGTACCGTCAGATGTGAGATGGATCGGATGACGCACGAGTTACACGTGCGAAAAAAACCCTAATGCTCTAATACCATGTTAGGAACAATAACTTGTATTATTATGAGGCCAAAGCAAACATATATACATATACATAAGAATGCCAAAAAGCTACAAGAGAATGTCAAGAGACTGAATGCAAAAGGTCAAAAGACATCACTAATACAACTCTAACACCATGATCTCTTTTTAGTATGGGTAGCAAGAATTTACACTTCACGCCGAGCAGTTCATCTATGCCTCAATATTTCAATGATGTTTGCGTGCCGGACCATATCTATCACCTCTCTAAAGTTCAAAAGCAACTCCTTTGCAAATTCATGGAACTTCTAGTTTTATATCACCTTGTTTTCTTCAGTATCATCATCTTTTTTTAGTCTCACTGAATCAGGTTAAGAAGTGGAACAAGCAAAGGGAGAATGGGACATTTGCAGAGCCCCTCTAAATCATCCGTTTGAGAGTCTCATAAGTTGCTTTTGTGTCAACCCTACTGCTGTCTTGTGGTTCGAATTTGTGCTCTTGTCATGTATCCTCTTCCAGCAATCATTGCAGAACAGAAGTGATGTTTTTCTGTTACACAAATACCTCAGTATGCTTATGTATTTTGTTATCCAGTATACTTAAGCATAATTATTTTTTTGTGATGTGACTACACAATCCTGTGATGATATATTGATTCCAAGTCAAGCAAATTATGTTGTTGATGTGAAGAATTGCTGCAAGATATTTTTTTGACTGTTCTACATCATTTTCTTTTAATTCAACATGGCAATCCCTTCATGTCAAACAACGTTTTATTTGAAGAGATGTGTAGCTGGAGAGGTTTTGGATGAAAGAGAAGAATTTATCAAATCCCTAAAATCCCCTCCTCCCGGAGCCTCCGCAATCCCTTCCTGTTAAAAAGGCCGAAGGGGCTACCAAAAAGTTGGCTCGGACCACGGAACCAAACAAATTGGCTGCCATCCAAAGTTCCAAATGCACTCCAACCCCGCCGGTCAACGCCAATATTTTTGGTGGGGCGCCTGCTTGCTGCCATCCAAACAGCCCCCAAATCCGCGCGCCTCTCACATCCCAGACCGCTGCTGAGCCTGGCCGACATGGCCACCGCCTCGCTCGCCGTCCGCTCGGCCTTCGGTGTCGCCCTGGCCGCCTTGATCGCGGCGCGTGCCGTCCGGCGGCGTTCGCTGGACGCCTCCGGCGGAGCTGCTGGGTTCGCCGTGATGGCGCTCCACCTTGCCTGCGGCTATAGGTACGGTGCGCTGCTGCTGGCTTTCTTCTTCACCTCGTCCAAGGTGACCAAGATCGGCGAGGACCGCAAGCGGCGCGTTGAGGAGGATTTCAAGGAGGGTGGCCAGCGCAACTGGTAATGGGCATCTCCGTGTTTGGTTACGTTTCTGAGCTGAGTTATTCTCATTTTAGCTTTCACATGTTACACGGGTGCACTTTTTGTGCTGAAAAATTGCTACACAAACTAAACCAATAGTGAACAATGTAGCAAGACAGGTATTCAGTGTTCTTGATAGAGTTAGGCATTCAGTATTTTCTCTCTGTATAAACGTAGTAGCTTAACACATCGTGTCCTAACAGTACGAAATGACTTAGGATTTGCCTGAACTGTTGACACAACCTTTGCATCTGAGTTCTCAAGTTCTCTTCCTCCTACTTGAATAAGTGGTTAGTTGTTCCCAATGTTTTAAATAGCGGGCTATGCCATTTAGTGGTGGCTCGGCTAGCAGCTATTTGAAGCTATAGTGGGGCTAAGCCATGGTTTGCATGTCACAGGCCTTTGGTGTTCACCTGTAACCGACCCAATATCTATAAGGGTTTGTACTGGAACAGTTTAGAATCCTCTAGGAGTATCTCTTCCCCTCATCAATGTAATCCATCCATTTTGTATTCCAATCTATTGCTGTAAACACGAATACGTCCCTACCAGGAAGGCATACTGTTGTAGGGCACGGGCCAAACTGCCCCGATTTGTCCCGATGTTCACGAATTGGAGGTGGGTTCAAGGGGGAACACGAAGAGCACGAGGGGAAAACGGGGAGAGATCACAAGAGGAACACTCAAGAACAAATCCAATCACACATCCACTAGACAACAAACACACAAGATCCACAAGGTACATGAACAATCAAAGGGAGACAAGATACAAGGTAGGGTTCATCCCAAATCCAAAGGAGATGAGGTCTTGATGATCTAGATAGATCCTTCCCTAGATGGGGTCTTGATATCCAGTTGAGGGATCTTCTCCGAAGAGGTCTTGAATCCACATGGATCTTCTCCTAGGAGGAATCCGACAAGGGGAGATACATGAGCTAAGCTCTAATGTGTAGTTCTATTCTTAGCTACCCCTAGAAATGAGGAGGGGAAGGTCTATTTATAGTCTAAGCCATGAAGGGTTAAGTGGGAGAGAGATACAAGGCCAAGGCCTCCGGCTGCACACAGGGAGGTGCCGGATGACCGGTGGCTCGGGACGGTTCGGACGCCCGACACGCGTCGGATGCCCGCTGATCCTTCTCGGGTGTAGCGGCGCCGGATTTCCGGTAGTTGTCAGACGTCCGGTGGCTCAGGAGGGCCCGGACGTCTGGAGCGCGTCGGTCTTCCGTCAATTTGCCTCTGGACATGTGGTACCGGATTTCTGGTGGAGACCGGATGTCTGGTCGCTGGAACTTGTTGGGCGTTCGGCGTGCCGTCGGTTGTCCGGCCGCTGTAGCGTCCGTCAGCTGTTGGCTTCCTGGTGGCTGAGTGTGGTTGCGTTGGACATCTGGTGGCTGTAGCTTCGCAGCTCCGTCTTCTTCCGTCTCCGCTTCCAAGCTTCCCTAGCGGATGGTGTAGTCGTTCCTTGGTGCCTGCACTCCTCCTTGTCATCAGCGAAGTTTCGACAATACCTATGTATGCACACGAGAGGAGTGTCAAGTATACCATCCTCGAAGGGGTCAAGTGAGCACATGTAAAGGAGATGCTTCACCTTTATGTATGTGAAGTAGATGTCGCACGTGTCACTTGCCGAACGAACTCTTGACATGGTGATGTCCATAGGATGCTCCGCATCACATACGTTTTATGCCAAAAGACTATCGCTATTCAGCTCCCTCGAGTATTTCACATGGTATCAAAGCTTTCCTTCCATAGCACATCAAGCTCCTTTCATGGCTGCTGCTTCCTCCTCCACCACCCTCCCCCATCCTCAACCTTAGTCTCGGAAAAACTTACTAGCGACAATTACGTGCTATGGAAAGCACAAGTGCTTTCCCCAATCCGTGGCGCCCTGACCGATGGGTACCTCGATGGTTCCCTCCCGGCACCGGCAAGGACGATCTCGTCGACCGATCAAGGAACGGTCCAGATGATAAATCCTGAATATGCCCGATGCCGTGCCCAAGCCCATCAGATCCTTGGATTCCTCCTCAACTCCCCTCACAAAGGAAATTCTCACGCAAGTGGCGTCAGTCCCCACCGCGGAAGAAACTTGGACTGCATTGGAAAAAAATGTTTTCCTCTCAGTCCAGAGCGCGGATCATCACATTTTCAGAGTCCAATAAATTGGGTTTAAAGTTAATGGCCAAATGGAATAGAGATGGAATTAGTTTCTGTAGATGGACAATAATTAATCCTACACGAGGGTCCCACTAGTCCTGCATGGCTAGTCAACAAAAGTCCAAGACAGTCAACAAGGTCCAAGGTGGTTAAAAAAGTCCAACTCAGTCAACCAAGGCCCAAGCTAGTCAACAAAAGTCCAAGCAAAATGCCATGGTCAACACGTCAAAGGAGAAAGCAGAATAAAAGGCCAAAGTCAACAGTGAAGGCAACAAGCAAAGGATCCTAAGCCCAAATGAGGCCCAATTAGCCAAAGGCCCATTCATGCTTGGATAAAGTGGAGTTGTGCATCATGGACTATGGACACCCCCACTTTTGACTAGTTTTCCTGGACTCATGGACCTAGACTTACCATCCTACCCCTCCTACCTACCACCACCTTGGCCATTTGTCAAAGCACCCTTACCATTATAAGCCCCCCCCATGGGCATGTACTCATTCACGCTCACTTTACTCAAGGGGAGGGCACTATTGTTCTTAGACCTTTCAATAGTCCCAAGCCGCTTTAGAGTCGAGTCCAAGAGAGTCGTGTTATGACTTGAACCGACCTTGGTCAGGAATTTGGGAGGGGGTTTCGAGGAGTCGTGTACTCGTGTTATGACTCAAAGACCGCAACCGTCCAACACCACCAGAGGCTTTCCTAACATAGGACTAGGCCACGCTCCGTCAAGGCAACTGAACCTATTCAAAAAACACCGTTGTGTTGTTTTTGTTCGTGTACAACGACCTTCGCCATAAAGTTATCGTATGAATGAACCCTCGCTAACTTTACTTACAATCATACTAAGGATGCCCCCTAGTCAAAAGTTATTTTTATAACAATAATTTCCATTCCATATAATTGCACTAGGGCAAGACGTATTTTTTGTGGAATGGGGGTGTATGGTGGAGAGGGGTCTCTTGGGAATTTTGTTGAATTTTTCAAACATTATGGATATTGGTTGTTTTGGGATGGTAGATCTAGGGTTTTGGAATAACAAGTTCTTCTGCGGAAAAGTCAAGGGTGATTGCATCCAAAGGTGGATAACCCGAGGGAAAGATCGAAAGATTTAATCCTTGGAAGGAAAGGAGAATGAGTTCAAGAGTTGAAACAGTAGTCACCAAGGCATTAACACCAAACCAAGTTCACAAACAAACGGGAAACACTCCAAAATAATAAATCAATAGAATTTAAATTTTATTGTGTTACACTTTTCTTCACCTACAATGCTGTCATGTTTAAAACGGGGTCAAGTTGGTACAGATTCAACTATCATTCCGTCACTAGTTCATTTCAATGGCTAAGATGCATAAAAATGGAAGCTAAATATGGATAGTTCGCCACAAAGAGTACAATTTTAGGGGCACATGCGATTAAGGTGTTACTACCCCATGATTTTCTCTCCCACTCTGTTTTGTTATATGCGTCCAGTTAATGCTGTTGAGGAGGAATGGTTACAGGATTAATTCAGCGATTCAAGGGGGGAGTTGGCATGGCAATCCCTGAAAATTCTCATAAGTTAAAGGGGGAAATAAGTGATTTGTTGGATGTAACCAAGGCAGAGAGGAATCGATCGAGAAATGTAGATTGAATTCTTCGTTAGCTATATAACTAGGTCATATAGAAAAGGTTGCACTTTCAGTTATAACACAAGTACAGAACACAGTACTGACGCAATGTAGTCAAACTTGCACGAAATGGCAATAGCTAGCCCAAGTCTATGGCTGTTTGGAAGCCAGTTTCAAAGATTCAGAAGTCATTTAGTAAACGAATTCATAAGGGTCTGTTTGGAACACATGAATTTCATTGGATACAGTTGAGACGTCAATGGCCTAATTAAACTGAAAATTTCCAAGTACCAATGCGGGGCTAAGAGGCCATCGTTTAAATGTTTATGCTCAGAGTCACAATTATATACTTTTGTCAGCATGCATGCACTATGGCAGTAGAAGCACAATCCCAATTCCACGAAAATACACTAATTTAAACTAGAGGATGGTTCCCAAAACTGTTAGACTTTCCATTGCTTCAGTGAAAATACATTATGAGTTAGTTAATTTGTTTTGGCAATGTTCTTTGTGAGAATCAGATGTGCTTGATGAAAAAACCCTAACTTATTATACATATCAATTTGTCATATTATATTTGGTAGAAGTTAACGAATTTTGTGGAATTTCTCTTTGGCAATCAGCTTTTCTCTTTTGTAAATAGGTCACATTGCTTTGCCGACAGCATCACAATACTTTATATTCTTCCCGCATCTTATTATTCGTTTATTTCTTAATTCTTGAAGGATCCAAGTTCTTGCAAATAGTGCAATAGCAACTGTATTGGTTATCCTATTGGCGATAATGACTGGGGGTCAAGATCAATGCTTGGACTCAAATGGTTCAAAGGTTATAACTGGTATAATAGGTGCTATTATTGGCCATTATTGCTGCTGCAATGGAGACACTTGGTCATCTGAAATCGGTGTGCTTAGTGATGAACAACCAAGGCTTGTCACTACCCTGAAGGTATGTGCCCCTTTCATGGTTGAGATATTATTTTAGTTTCTTCCATCTTAATACAATCACCAGGGTGGTGGGGGTTTGTTCCCCTCGCATGGAGTTTACTGGGATAAAGTACCTAGAGATTGAAATCTAGGAAGCAGAACAGTTCTTTCCATCTCTCTGGTCTCTGCCCATTTGTTACAGTACATTTGGTTAACCTAATAGACCAGGCTACCTGTTGCAGCCCGTCTTAATTCTTCTTTGTCAAACCTGCCATCCATTTGTTGACATAAAATTTGACTGTAGAAACACAACTCCTTTGGGTTTCCATGAAACTGAAGTTGTACTTCTTGGTAATGCCTTGTTCATGACCAAATTGTTTTGGGCATCAAGCCAAGAAACAGGAAAAAAATGATTTGACCAAACTACATGTGGTGTAGGGTTGTTTTTGCGTTATTCATGCAACTATTGGATCCCACGATGAATTCTGTTTGAGCAAGCTTGAAATATGCTTAACATTGTGAATGACCATAGAGATGCTCGTAGACTGATATGCAAACTATGTGCAATGTGTGAATGTAGATTGAGTTTTAATTTATAATTATGTGAGCCTGCTCTAGATATAGAATCAAACGATTAGTGTGTGAGGAAAATGCTCCCAAGTGGCGCTCCCACCTCTCCCTAATAGGTACAAGCTGGCTAAAAGTGCTAATATGAGCCCGAGCTCAGATACTTTTCTCGCTTGCCCAGTTGCTCCTAGATTCGCATTTGCCAACGTATAGGACGCTGTATAATGATTAGTATTTTATCAATTTTTTGGTACCATGGCCCACATCGGTCCAGTAATCAATGTGACGTCGTCAGGCACAGCTCGACCGGCTCTGATATCTTCTAACGTTATGGGCCAGCACCCTCTCGATTCTGTACCAGCGGTGATCGTTACCCTGGCCCATTTATTGCATGCCATAGCCGCACCGACCAGCCTTCCCCTTCGAGATTCATCTCCTTCCTCACCGGTTAAAACAAGTCCCCACCATTTGCAGCTTTATCCCAGCACAATCGTTCAGAGGAGACCTGCAGCCAAAGAAACATACACAGCATGAATCGTGTATGATTTCATCTCCACTAAAGTACAGCTCAAAGAGATAATTGATTTATCCCAGACCTGAAGTGATCCTGAAGACAGAACAGATGCAGCAGCAACCCTATCCTCCAGGCCAACCTCTGCTACTGAAGACGCCATGCCCTGCATCGCCCAAATTTTCAAGATGTTTAGCACACAAACTGGCACAAGTTATGCAAAGTGCAACCAACATGGAAGCAGAAACCATCATGAATCTACTAATCTCACTTATGCTACTTACAATAGCGGTGTTGACTCTCAGGCCTGTCACCCCACAGCCATTGCCTACAGTGTCGACGAGCTCCATCTAGCGACCACCACAACCGCTTATGCCCGTCCTTAGCTCCGAGAAGATCACCACTAGTACTGGTAGTCTAGAAATACACAGCCCCACATCTCTGTGCTTATGTACACAAGCCTAGCCCATTCCAGCTCTTGCATTTTGAATTTCAAAAACTCAAACCAGCTTGAACCTTTCATGACTCCGTAAGACACATGGCAAACAACCAAACTTGAATGCAGCTCAGTCTATTTGTCCACCTGTTTGATGAAACATGCTGTTCTCTCATTTACTTGAGCCTCCCCGCCTCCCATCAGTGGAAAGGCATCCAAAACGATTGTAATATGTTGGCAGCTGAATTAAAAAAATCCTGAGCGTTCCACAAAAAGAAGTTACCAACACAATCAGAGTTCATGCACACGCCTCATCATCAGGTTATCATCTCACAGATTACTAATTTTCACTACCCTGTACCCAGTACTGCCTGTACCTCTCCAACTGCATAATGCTCCACAGTGAGTTTTAATTTATAATTATGTGAGCCTGCTCTAAAAGAAAACACATCAGTAACAGATCACATAAGTCAAATGAAATTGCACCTGCAAAAAAAGTCGAATGAGATTAGAATACAAAAGGTTTGCAACAAAGTAGACAATTCTGAACACACAAGTACTGATCTAGCTCTCAACAGCGTGATCTAGTTCCATACGGAACAAATTCTCTTGACTACCCCTACTGGGGATTGTGGATTAGTCTCTACACCCCATCTGCTAACTTCAGTTCCATCGGCTTAGTGCAATGTTACCTTCAGTGCCCCTCGACAGCACAATTCTTACACCTTGAGGCTTGTGAGGGTGATTGAGTACATCACCTCTATCCGGACAAGTAGTTCTCTTGCGCCCTTCCGCGATGGCAGAAGGTAGAGCATGGTCCTCTTACTCAATCCTTCGCCTTGTACTTATCCAGTAGTATCCACTTGTGCCTGATCTTGAACAACTGTGTCATGTATGGGTGCACGTGGAGCCTGTACTTTGTTAGAGTTATATTAATATTGTCTTTTGGCCTTTTGCATTCTAGTCTATTGGCATCCTCTTGTAGCCTTTTGGCATCCTCATGTATGTGTATATATATTGGCTTTGGCCTCCTAATGATACAAGTTGCATATCCGTAACATGGTATTAGAGCCTAGGTTTTTTTAGCACGCGCAACTCGTGCTTGATCCGCTACTCCGCCGCCGTGATTTCCTTCTCTACTCCGGCTGCTGTCTGCCGCTGCCCCAATCCATCCGGCCCTTTGCTGGTCCGGCTGCTCTCTTCTGGATCGAGGTCGCCTCAGCCGCACCTTCTCTCTGGATAGCGCCGCGCCATCTGGTCCTCTGGATCGAGACCGCGAGGACGCGGAACGCCTGCTGCTGGGCTGCGACGCGGGACGCCCGCCGTTGGGCTGCGACGCGGGGCCGCGGGGTCGCGGGGAACGTCCCCCGCCGGCTTCTGACGCGGGGCGCCGCCGCCGGCTCGGAACGCAGGGTCGCGGGGTCCGCGGCGCTCATCCGCCGCCGGCTCCTGGCGTAGGTCGCCAGCCGCTGCACTTGCTCCCAGCCGCTGCACTCGCCGTTGCCTTGCCCTGTTAGCCGCTGCACTCGCCGTTTTCTTGCCCTGTTTCGGCCGCTGCTCTAGATCGGGCGCTGTCTGGTGATTCCGGATCGAGCTGCCCATCGTTCGTGGCCTCTGTGTGGTCTGTTGTTGGTTCTGCTTGGTCTGGATCGATTTTGATTCATTTGCCTGAAGTGGGATCTTCGGGTGGTCTTTGCTTAAAAAAGAGAGAGAGAGATAAAAAAAGAGACGAAGAGATAAGGAGCACCATGTCTTCATCGGGCGGCTATGTCGCCATCCCTCGCTGCCTGGTGATCTTTGATGGAGCTAACTATGCTGAGTTTGTTGCCTTTATGCGCATTCACATGCGTGGCCTTCGTCTGTGGGGTGTTCTTTCCGGTGAGGTCCCCTGTCCTCCTCGCCCAGTCTCTCCCGTGGCTCCTACTCCACCGCCGGCACCACCGGCTCTCGCGACAGATGTTTCTGATGCTGATAGGGCTGCAGCTAGGGTTGCCGCTGATGATGCAGCTGCTGCTTATGACCAGCAGGTCTTGGATTATTCGGATGCTCTTTCCATCGTGATGATCTGGTTGCTTACACTCAGTGGTGTGATGACGATGCTCGTGCCGCGGCTGTCCTCACTTCCAGTGTTCTTCCTCAGTTTGCTTCCGAGTTTATGGGCCTCAGCACTGTCTTTGAGATGTGGACTCATTTTCGCCAGCGGTATCAGCCGGTGACGCTCTCTACTTGCCTGTGGTCCGTCAGAAGCATGCTCTTCAGCAAGGAGACTCCACTATTGATGAGTTCTACACTCAGAGTTCTGTTATCTGGCGACAACTTGACTCTCTTCGCACTGCTGTTTGTGGCACTTGCCCATGTTGCCAGACTGTGAGGTCAAACTTGGAGTTTCAGCGCGTCTACGAGTTCTTATCGCGGCTCCGTGGTGAGTTTGAGCCTCTACGTGCTCAGTTGTTTGCTCGTGGCCGTGTTCCTATTTCTGAGGTGCTTTCTGAGCTTCGTGCTGAGGAGACTCGCCTCCGTGGTGATGGTCTGCTTCAAGTTCCATCTGTGCTTGCTGCTCAAGCTGTTGCTCCACCAGTACCTTCTCGCTCCAGTGCTCCGCCACTACTGCCCACTCCTTCTGGTAGTGAGAGCCGCACTCGTGAGGGCCGCTCTCGTCCTCATACTCATTGTGGGTACTGCAACAGGGATGGTCACCCCGAATCTGATTGCTTCAAGAAGAAGCGTGATATGCGTAATAGGGAGCGCAATTCTTCTACTAGGACTCACACTTCTTCCTCGACGTCGTCTACTGTCTCCTTGACTGAGCATGATATTATGAAGCTTAAGCGTCTACTTGCTGCTTCAGGTTCTTCGACGGGTACTGCAGGCTCTGTGACTGGTGCTTCTAGTGTTGAGCGACCACCATCTACACAGTCTGGTACATCCCCATGGGTTCTGGATTCTGGAGCTTCATTCCGTATGTCTTCTGATTCCTCTGTCTTGTTCTCTCTTAGATCTCTCGATTTTCCTATTAATGTTCTTACTGCTGATGGTACTCCTCTACCTGTTGCTAGTCGAGGCATTCTTTCCACTTCTTCATTTCATGTTCCAGATGTTTCTTATGTTCCTCACCTTACCATGAACTTATTTTCTGCAAGTCAGCTTACTGATTTTGGTTGCCGCGTCATTCTTGACGTTGATTCTTGCACTGTCCAGGATCGTCACACGAAGGCTTTGGTTGGAGCTGGCCCTCGCCGCCTTGACTCCCAGGGGCTTTGGGAGTTAGACTGGCTTCATGTTCCTTCCGCTGCCACTACACTCGCCAGTACATCTGCCTTCACCGCTTCTGCTACCAGCTCCTTCCAGCAGTGGCATCATTGCCTTGGTCACCTTTGTGGTTCTCGGCTATCGTCTTTAGTTTGTCATGGTCTTCTGGGGCCTGTCTCAGGAGATGTCTCTTTGCAGTGTCAGGGTTGTAGGCTTGGTAAACAGGTTTAGTTACCTTATCCTACAAGTGAGTCAGTGT